GTCCAGAGTAATCTAACACTTGGTCTGGTCCAGATAGTCCAGAGTAATCTAACACTTGGTCTGGTCCAGATAGTCCAGAATAATCTAACACTTGGTCTGGTCCAGATAGTCCAGAATAATCTAACACTTGTTCTGGTCCACATAGTCCAGAATAATCTAACACTTGGTCTGGTCCAGAGTATTCTAACACTTGGTCTGGTCCAGATAGTCCAGAGTAGGCTTGGTCTAGTCCAAAGTAAACTAGGACTTGGTCTAGTCTTGAATAACCTAACATTTGGTCTAGTCCAGGTGGTCCAAAGTAATCTAACACTTGGACTAGTCCAGGTGGTCCAAAGTAATCTAACACTTGGACTAGTCCAGAGTAAAGGACTTGGTCTTGTTCAAAACAAAGAAAGACTTGATCTAGTCCAGAGTAACTTGGTCTAGTCTAAAGTAGACTTGGTCTAGACCAGAGTAAACTAAGACTTGGTCTAATCCTGGTCTAGTCCATATTAAACCAAGTCTTCAGTCTGAAGCTAGCTTGCTGCAGGACCTTATGAATATTGATCATTTCCCAGTGAAAATGAACCAGATGAACAACATGGCAGCTGTAACTCATGCAAAGTTTAAATAAATCACTTCAACATTTTCATGTCAGTAATTTTTCTCTCATTTCACCAAATCTGTTCAGGTTTGATCAAAGATGATGTTTGACAAATACCAGCAACTATTTTATACATTTTACACCCAACAGAGAGAAAAAAAACCCAGATATAAAACAGCAGCTGGTCTGTTTTAACATGCAGCTCGATAAAAAACAGAAAGAAGCTTCTTACCTTCAGTAAACTGATTTACCGCCACTCCTCTTCCGGGTTTTACATGTTTCATCCTCTCTGCCTCCGGAGAACACCGACTCCCCGTTAGAGTTGGACTCCTCTGGTCTGAATGAAGGAGCAGTAATCACCTCTTCACCAGGTGTTGGCGGCAGCAGCTCCTGCAGGAACCCGGACAGAGCCACGCCCACCGCCAGGATCAAAGAAGACCAAGCAGCGGTCCGCGGGCCAAACACTCTGGGACAGGTGGGACAGTGGGACCAACCCGTGATTTACCGAAATACATATATATATGTAAAGGAAAAAATAAAGAAATCACCCACCTTACACAATTACTGAAATAATAATAATAA